GTGTGCAGCCTGCGGCTGTGTGTGAGCGGTGTGGGCTTCCCCGCTGTCATACGAAATCACTTACTATTTCCTCCAACCCATCAGACATCCCTGTCTGTTCGCTTCACGCTGACACAAAGGATACGCATGTGTTTGTATAAACAGGATAGTGCTTGCAGTGGAAGGTTTGTTTTAGGCATCTTAGTTCATCATCATCGTGTATTAGAAGTATTACGTCTAAAGCCTCATTTCTCCTGCATGGTGCAGATCAACCTTCTTTTTTTACTAGATTTTATGTTCCACTGCAGATAGAATATTATCATAGCAACTCCCATATCATCTTGAAGATGACACAGTTCTCCCTGGATTTTCTGACCAATCAGTGGTCTGCAGGGTTTTGACTCCATCTTCCAGTATCAGCTCAGCTGCTGGAACCATGCAGCATTCTCTCTGCCCAAAAAGGCATATCTGGGGTCTGGGGTCAAGGGTGGAATTATAGTCTCAAAGTGGGAAGGTTACACTTGAATTAATAAATAAGAAGTATGTAAGTATGAAGTATGAAGAAAACATTGCAAATGTATTTTTTGCCTAAATGCCAAAAACTCCTAAAACCCGGGCCGACGACACAGTGAGAGACTGCTTTTCGAGGGGGTGTCAGTGTCCTGTGGAGGCTGATTGGCATCTGGGCATCCTGACCTGAGTGTCTTCTCATTAGGCCACTGTGTTCATGCAGTATTAGACCTGCCACTTCTCATTTTTGGAGATGTACACTTCTGCTAGGAGTTAGTGTGTGGAATCATTGCCGACCACCTTGACTCCTTCAGAGATGAGTTTACTGTTGTGATTAATCTCTCCCTTCATGCCATCTTTTCCTCTCCAAATGCAATTATATTTCTGAGTTAAAGGACAAGCCGTCCATCAGATGAAAATAATGACAAATGAGAACGAAATGGTGACTGGCAATGCGAGCTGAAGGGATAACATAGTGAATGAAAAAGGTGGAGGGGAATTTGGCAAAAGGATAGAGTAAAAGAAAACATTGAAAAGTCAAAAATAAAAAGAGAAGAACATTTTTTCTTGTTGCCGCTATCAGTTCGGTTAGAGAGGCAAATTGAAGAGTGTTATATTTTCAATATCAAAGAAAAAAGAAAGTCAGAGGTGTGCGTGTGTGTGTGTGTGTTCTGGATCGGGTATTGGGTTGTGGCATCAAATGACATTGACATTTTTATTTTTTGACCGTCCATCAAGTAATGTGCTAAATGTTCCAGTCTAAAGACAATTCCAGCAGCGTGTTACTCCATGTTGTTTGTCATACTGGTCATATTTTACATCTTCCATGTACTGATTGAAGAAATGGTGCCAGTATTGGTCATATTGCTGAAGCAGCCATGGAGCTGGATAAGGCCCCTTTCAGAGCCCCCAGAACTGCTGACACACAGTATGAATGGATACTGACAACCGACTCATCATCATCCCAGCCTCCGCTCTCTTGAAACCATCAAAATGGTTGCATTTTTTCTTTATTTCTCAGAGCTAACGCATCTGTGGCTCCATCCCCCCTCCCTGATTCAGCTCCCCACTGCCGTTAGGTGCAGACATCTCAACGCATCATTGGTCAAGCCACAAAACAAATGGAAATCCGCCAGCATGCTGAAATTACTGATGATTATCTTGCACACCCCACCCATTTCCACCACCACCACCCATTCTCCAACACCAGCCTCCCCTCAGATTACTGTCTTCCCTCTCTCCATTTATCTTCCATCCAAAGACTCCCAGCATCTCACTGTACAGTTGCACACAGGATCAAACTAAAATCATACAGTTATGAAAAAAATATCCTTATTGGCTGTAATGTATGAGAATATGCATTCTTTTCTCTGTCCTTAAAATGTTGGATAATCTTAAAATGCTATTATAATAATTTTGCTACTTAAAAAGAGCCCCAAATACATCCTATGCTAAGCCATAACCCATTGTGTTAACAAAAGATATTCATATGACTATAATGAAAGGGTGCTATGAATAGGTTCAATTAATTCATACAATTACTTCATACATACAAACTAGTTCAATATATAAATACTATCTTCATTGTTAATGAAATAATTCAAAGAAAGATATTAAGGCAACATATTCTCAACCACTGAGGCAGTCCGTTCTGGTCAGCCTCAGAGGTGCAATGGTTGGACTCAATAAAAAAAAATACACGTGTATATATTGTATAGTAGCCTATATGTTGGGGAAGATGGTGACATTAGCAAATATTACATGTATATAAATAAAATCATTATAAATATCTATAACAACATGGCCAAAAGTCAATTACATTGTTGTATGTACGTTCAATGTATGTTCAATGTTCAATTGATCCACAGGCCTGCACGACTAACAGCAGTTTAGAAAATACAGTTATACCCAAAAATATGTTCTAACAAAGTTGCATTTTAACTACTTCCCAGTGTCGCCTTTTGCCAATATCGCGGACAAGCACCCATTTCTTACCACCCGGCAATAAAAACGGAGGCCACACACAAACATATATACTGTTTTATTCCACTATAAGTTGAGTTCCTTTAAGGTTGGGCGAGGCTGAGAGAGCCAGACACTCGACAAAGTGCGTCTTTTATTCCCTTCTTGAAGGTTCCAATCAGATTAGCTGTTAAAGTGTTCCAGCTCCACCCACCAGGAAACAGGCAGCTGTGCCAAACGCACAAACTCCATTCGGTTTTCTTTGAACCCCCAAAACTGTGTGCAATAATATGTGCTTATTTGTGTTCATTAAGAATTCTTTTTATCCATCTATTGCTGTTAAATCACATAAGAAATATTTAATTTTGAGTTTAGACAGCCGCAGAGCAGTACTCGAGGGTTATGAAGTTTACTCATCAGAAATAACCAGGGCAGGGCAGGTTCTAACCTGCAGCAAATTCATCTTCTCTACTTAAGAATGAATATGAATAGTGAAATCCATGACAGAACTATATAGCATATTGTCCTCTGCCTCATCATCATCATCATCACCATGAGGGATGCATGTTGTGTTGGGCCTCAGGGTGGCTGATGTGGTGTGTTGTGTTAAATTCAGATGTTTTTACACGTAAGTGGAGCGTTCTTCTGGGATATCCCTCAGCTGTGCTGGCCCTTTCTTGTGAATACAACCTTTTCGTTTCTTGGGTACAAAGCAGCAATATTGGTTATTGATTGATCAAAGAGAGTCTACATGGAGGCATTGCCTTCCTCCTCGCTGGCGTTAAAAAGAAAACCACGAGGAAACGGTTGATTTACTTGTAAGAATGCAGAAAAACAAACAAACAAAAACAAAGAAGCGTGATGAGAAAATTTGCTTTGCATTTGGTGGAAACAGCATGAGCGACTCACCATACATGAAACTATTGCTGACCCCCCCCATGGCATTATTACAGAGTAACTTACGCATTACACATGTTAAAGAACACATGACTTTTATTCAGGAGAAGACTGTTCCTGCACTTGTGAACTACTATTATACTATATTATGCCGTACTACCGTAATGTTTGTGGCGTCGGTCGTTAGGCGCAGGACTCAGATGAGTGGCTGAGTGCATGCGCTCCCGAGCCGATTTGAGTGAGCTATGGTTTGACACGTAATAGAGTAAAATCTACATTTCTATGTGCTTATTAACCAAGGGAAAAGAAAGTGAGGTTTACATTTAGACTTCTACCACAGTCTCTCTTGTTTGCCCACATGATATTTGTAGGAATGTCTCTTTGTTCATTTCCAATGTCAGTAATAACTAGAAAAGGCAAGTCTTAGTGAGCCTATTATCATCAATTCATTTAATATTTTTTGGTGAATTCTGCAAAACGACACACTTTAGTGTATCCTCTTCTCCTTCCTCCTCCTCCTCATCAGTGATCAATGTTGTGTTCTATGTTGTAGTCTACTTTAAGGAGAGGCTGCCGGAGGTGCTTTTGTATCAGGGCTGCACTCATGCACTCTTGCATGCTCATGCATGCTGCACGACACACTGGGTGTCGTGGTGGCTGTTGGATTATGACTTAAAACAGTAACTTAATTGAAGATGATCTGACTTCCTCTGTTGTCCCTCGGGTCAGCTGGCCTGGTTTCTCTCTTTCTTTCCACACTTCACTGCTTCTCTTCTGTCTTTCCCTTTCATCAAGATTACATCATTTATTTCGTCTTCTCTCTGTCATCATAAGCATAAGCAACCGCTGTGTCATGAGCAAGTCATTTGACAGGAATTGGTCATTTTAAGGGCAGAATTAGCCCTTTGATGTTGTTGGATGACAGCCGGGCTCATTGCCAGTCCTCTGCGTTCCTCTCCGGCCGGGGGGGACCTTTTATTTGTCAGTAAGAACGGTCTTCAGCCATGCAGGGATTCGTTCTTGATTTATGGTTATTTTGAATTCAACTTCATTTATTGAGCGGCAAATCATTCTACATCCCTTTCTACATTTTAAATCCATTTCTTAATAGTAAACTATTAAGAAATGGATTTAAAATGTAATGTAAGTATAATGGCCTTCTGCCATTATACTAATTGTAGCCCACTAATAATAACATTTTCAGCAAATTTGTGGTTAGCAATGTAAATTCAAATTAAAGTGTGAAAAGTAGTCACTGTGCTGTTTGGTAACATTGACAACAGTTATTTTAGGACATTAGAAAGACCATCTACAAGCAGCTTCATGTTCTTGTGACTACACACATCATTATTACTACCTTTTTCTGATTCAATTTGTCTTTCTCTCTGTAATAGAAGAGTGTTCAACTCTTCTTCTACTACAGGGGCACAGGACTTTTATCAATGTGAAGTGTATTGTTAGTTCTGGTTCCTTCATCAGACGGAACCTGTGATCTTAAGGAGATACAGTATCAGTCATCAGACTCATTGAATTGAATGAGAAAATGTCTTTAAACTTTTGAATGGTAGTGTATAAAGAGACAATGTTCGAACAGTTTCAGGGCTGAGGCTTTATTTAAGTCTGTACTTTCCTCTTTGCTCTTCTTACCACAGCCAGAGAAGAGAATGTGGCCACTTTCCGTGGCTCTGAGTACTTCTGCTACGATCTCTCCCAGAATCCCATCCAGAGCAGCAGCGATGAGATTACTCTCTCCTTCAAGACGTGGCAGCGCAATGGCCTCATCCTTCACACCGGCAAGTCAGCTGACTACGTCAACCTGGCACTGAAGGACGGCGCCGTGTCCCTCGTTATCAATCTGGGCTCTGGAGCCTTTGAAGCCATCGTGGAGCCAGTCAATGGAAAGTTCAATGACAATTCATGGCACGATGTCAAAGTGACCCGCAACCTCCGGCAGGTAAGGCACAGGGATGGTTGAGCGCAGCTACTATCAGAGCCTACAGGTAGGACAAGAGATAAGCAGAGCTAGGCAGGTAGGTACGTACACAGGTACAGTACATTTCATAGCATTTTGGCCTTTCATCAACCTATTCACACAATCATTTAAGGGCTGGCAAGCAAAATAGATGATTGTTTCAGAACTCATTTCCATTGTCATTCATATGTGAGCAAAGTGCTCCACAGTACAGCTCCTAACTTCTTTTTTGTAAGTAAGTAGTGACTTACAGAATGAAATTAAGCATTGTTTTTACAAACATGTGTATACCCACACTTTCCATAATTTGGTTATCTTTTGTTTTACTTTTATGTACTTAGAAAACCTTTGGTCAACTGTGTATTTTTGTTTCTCACCCACCCACCTTTTTGGAAAGCAAACAAGCATTGGACGGGTAAACACTCTCCATTGTATGGTATATATCATTATTATTATTATCATATTTTAGTTTGCTGTGTTCTTTTCCTCCTCGCCTCAAAATGATTTAAATTAAGTAAATAAAGATACCATCCCTTGACAAAAAAATAATGATATTTCCCAGCTTTCTCATTTGTTTTACTTTTCTTCCTCTATCATTCTCCTTGTTGCTTAACTGCTTTCATTTTTATTCCTTTAAGGTTTTACTGAAACTGTTTCATTTCAGATTTTCAAGGGTGTTAAGATTAGTGTTAACAAGAATATTACAACCACATTCGAGAGAGACAAAGTCCACATCTGAAGTCTTAAAATTGTTTCTGGTGCACAAGAGTTCATGTGCACAATCTGACACGGATTAAATCCACCTTTCATCTCACTCACATTTTCAATCAAAGTGAAAACTAGAGGCGACTAACATTGTATAGACAACCAATTTTTATGTGCACATGTACTGGTGTAAACTTTGTTCATCAGTACTCATTTCCTGACCCTATCGCTGCGGCCAGAGTCAAAAGAAATCCCAAATCAACGACAATACAGCCATGTTAACATCCGTCTCTTTACAAGCACGATGGTCGGTCAGGAAGAGAGACCCCAGTAGGTTTTGTGTCTTAACATTCTGGCATCTAAAAGTATGAAGCCCACTAAATTAAAGAGAGACTTGGAAATCCACCACCCGGATCAAGTGAACGAGCCCCTTGAGTTTTTCAATGTGGGAAACTATTGCTTATTTGCACTTTTATGTTCTTGCATACCTTTTTGAACTGGTTTGAAAAACTTCCTGTGACATCTGGAAATATTTGTTTTTGCAGTGTTCCCAACTTCAAATATAATTTTCAAAGTAAATTTACTTGAAAATATTTTTACAAAATCTAAAACTGTTAAGTGGAAATGGAATTGAACTAAAATGTGCTTACTTTTATTAAGTTTATAGTATATTATAAAGCACTTAATTCAACATGTCATGTCATCCCTCTCCATATACAATATGGTCAAATAAACCAGATTGTAATAGATTTTCACTACCATTACATTTGGAAAATCTAAGGAAAACTTAAATTGATTACACCTTGGGTATAGTATAATTCAATTAAAGACGTTTATTAACATGTAGATCTACTGAAGGCAAACATTTATTTTCATCTTGTTGTTTTATTCTTTATAACAGTGGTTTTGTAATACTTTTTTCATACTTTGTTGCAAATGGTCAAATACATGCAAAGTGGTATAAAGAAGCATACAACAAAATAGTTGAGTATAGTAAAAGTAGCTAAATATTGTACTAATAAAAATGTTCTCACAGCTTGGAGGTTTTTATTCTAGGACTGAAGTCCCGCGTGTGTGTCCTGTGCATGTTTGCCTTCTATTTTCTTTGTCTTCCCACTACCTCCTTCCTCTCCTTTCGGTTTGTCAATATAATGTTCTATGGCCCTGCATGCTGGTTCTATTAGTTTCAGTACCTCCTCAAATGTTTTGACACAAAAAGAGAGTAAGCATCATATAGATCATACTTCTATAAATAGCATCTGCTAACTGAAGAAAATTATTGGCTATCATATTTTATTTATATCTGCCTCGTCCACAACACATCACCAGTGTGGAGATTTCTATTTTACACAGACCAGAGTGAATTCTAAAACAATAAAACAATCTTCGATCCTGAAAATTCCAGAGAAACATTTCATTTCCACACTCACCGATCATTTTTCCCTATCAGGTGACAATATCAGTGGATGGGATTTTGACCACCACCGGTTACACCCAGGAAGACTACACTATGTTGGGTTCTGATGACTTCTTCTATGTTGGTGGAAGCCCCAGCACTGCGGACCTGCCTGGATCTCCAGTCAGCAACAACTTCATGGGTTGTCTCAAGGAGGTAAAGTACCTGGCCATTAATTGCAAAATAACTCTTAATGTGTTAAAATCGTGTGCTAGCGCTGGGACAATGCCAATTGAGGGTCCTTTGTCATGGTAGGCAAAGAAATTCCCTGCAGCCGCAGAGGACGGTGGTTACGACTGATACATTGGTCAAACCCAGAAGACTCGTATTTGTAAAACTAATAGTTAATGAGTAATGTTAAATTACGTAGGCTAACAAATGTAGCTATTTCAATCCAAACCATGCATGATTTTTCCCTCCCTAAAACCTACCAATATGTTATACAGAATTGCGTTGTGTATACCAAAAGTAATGAGGCGTTCCCTAGTGACTTCAGTATTCAAAGAGCCTCTCACAATGAATACAATAATCATGTTCAAAAACCGATTATTTATACAGTATCTAAGAACCAAAACTGGTTTTCTGAGTTCTGAGCTCTATTTTCCATTGCCACAAATGTTTACTGACTCCCGTATCTCCTCAAATAAAATCAAAAAAAAGGAACCTTTTAGTATCCTAATTGCATAACTATTGCATTCAGATTCATGTTATGATACTCACAGTGTCAAATGCCAGTCAGTGAGATAATGGACACATGGTCATGTTTGTAAAGACGCTTGACACAGCACCTATTGAGCCGTGTCATTGCAGGATGAACACAAATGTAATCATGCCATCAACTATGTGCCTGTTGTATTTTGGTCATGCTATTTTGGATGCTGGCACATTGGAATCAAGGAGAAATATTAATGATATCACTAAATCTTGGCTAGCGCTATGTTTTTGTCCGTGTTAGCTTTTGCACCGCTGACAGCACAATTTTCTGGACTAATTTGCATATAATATTTTCAAACGGATTAATGGGAATTCTAAACAGCAAATTTCAGAGAGTTAATTTGACTCTGTGAGATTCAATTTTAACTCTAAGCTGGTGTTTATATTGTCCCAATCTTGTCAGTGTTAAATCAACACTCAACGAAGTGTTAACAAGTTAACTCGGAATAAGTGTAAAAAATATATCTGCTGTTAAAAACATTACATGTCATTTAGCTGACACGTTTATCCAAAGCGACTAACATTGCATTTTTAACCCATGGTTTTTACATTTTAGCCTGGGGAGCAATTAGAGATTAGGTGTGTTGCTCAGGGACACTTTGACACGGGACATGGAGCAGCCGGGATTCAAATCGCCAACCTTGTGGTTCCCAGCTCTCCCTCTCTACTCCATGCGCCACAGTACGTAGAGTTAAACAAACACCAAGAAGTGTGACACTGTATAGTAACAGTTGTACAGTTTTTTCAAATCTATCAAAGAGTTAACAACAAAAGAATCCTAAATTCTGTTGCATTCCCCCTGTCAATGTCCCTCAATGTTTTCGGTTTTCTTGCAAATTCCAACGGAATATAGTTGCGCAAGCTCGTTAGATTGTCAGACATCTGGTCAACAATCGAAGCAGATGAACGGAATCAGAGAGCTCCTCTAAGCCAAATGTTCAGAAGCTTCCTAACGACACCTAAACAAACAGAATGCATATAATCAGTGACCGTCAAGTCCTGGGTTGGAGAATCTTCTTCCGGAAAGAGAAGTAGTTCAGTCTTTTCAGATGGTGGGCGGACATCCACTGAGATGTCTGTCAGACAGGCAGAGATCTGTGCTGCCACCTGGGTGTCCGAGTGAGGGAAGGAGAGAATTCAATGGGTGTCATCGGCATAGCTGTGGTAAGAGAAGCCATGCGAGCGAATGACAGCGCCGAGAGAGTTGGTGTAGAGCGAGAAGAGGAGGGGACCTAGGACGGAACCCTGAGGAACTCCAGTAGTAAGAGGACAAGGTTCCGACACAGATCCGACACAGATCCTCGGACAGAGTAAGAGATGAAGAAGTGGTCAGACACATGAAGTGGAGTTACAGAGAGGTTAGTGGTAGAGCAGTTTCTAGTGAAGATGTAGTCAAGGTGATTGCCAGCTTTGTGAGTAGGAGGAGAGGGACTGAGCGAAAGAAGAAAGTAGTAGGAGTAAAAGGTCAGATGACTTCTTTGTCTGGATGTTGAAGTCACCCAGTAGGATGAGCGGAGGGACATTTTCAGGGAAGTAGGACAGGAGAATGTCCAGTTCTTTCAAGAAATGACCCAAGGAGCCTGGTGGATGGTAAAGGACACTGATATTTAATTGTACTGGGTGAGTAACTGTAATTCAAAAGACAGTCGGGTGAACGGTGGAAGATGGTTGAGAGAAAAGCTCCATTTGGGTGAAATGAGTAGACATGTGCCACCACCCCTGCCAGTGGGTCTGGGTGTGTGGCTGAAGGAGAAGGCGGCTGCTGGATAGCAAAGCCGGAGATGAAGTCTGCCTTGCGAGTAGCTGACTGGCAGTTCCAGAGGCCTCCTGTGCTGAGGTGCTGGACGTGTGTGGAGCAGGTGGGATCGGTGAGAGAGGAGAGGTTACGATAGAGAGCAGATCTAGCACGAGGGCTGTAGTATCTGTGGGAAGAGATTTGAACAGGTACAGGTAGAGGGAGCAAACTCGTTATTAATAATATTAGAAGGAGGCGCCGCATTCAGCTGCCACGAAGACTCCCACGAAAGACTCCTTGGTCTTTGTCCTGCTCGTCTTCGTGCGGCGAGTCTTCGCAAACGCTGCAGCTAACACTGTACTCAACCTCTAAGAGCTGAAGAGGTAACCCACCCTTCATTCACACAAAAATAAGTCCTCCACTCAAGCTGAGGATGTTTTATCTTTGCACTTGACTACTGCTGTGTGGCAATAGGGACCTGGTTTTCTCTGTTACTGGTTACCAGTGACACACACACACACAGCATATATGGCCCACAGGGAGGGTGAGGCATTGGCGCAGTAGCCATTTAATCCCCCTCTGGCCCACTTCCTGCTCTATGCCATGCTGAGCAAGGTAGCGATCCCAGCCAACCTTCACACACACACAGACACATACACTCCGCAGCTCCAAATAAAAAAAATACTAATAGAAACGCGCACTTCCAGTAATGCGCATTAGCTTTGAGTCATTTATTCTCTCCTCATGACACAGAGAGATAGCAAAATAAACACCTTGTTACATAACAATTACAAGACACACAAACCTCTTTCCTCTGGCTTTTCTCATGTCAGAAATACTGTGAAAGAAATGCTGCAGCATTTGTTGCACATTTTTCAAATAAATAGACCTTTGCTACTAAAGTATGTAGAAGGGTAGTGATTTATCTGACTTTATATTTATTCTGTTGATAAATGTGCCCGCCTTTAAAGAAAATTCCACCTTGGTCTTTTACACGTTAATGTGTGCCAGTACGAAACTCTCGTGCACAGAGATTGGTAGATAATTGTACCGTACAATCAGGGCTTGACATTAGCACCCGGCCACTCGCCACCCGCGGCCAGAATGTGGCTGTGGCGGGTAAAGCAGTCACTCTCACCAGCCACTTTGGTGGGTGGAATTCGAATATCTCTTGGCATATTTTTTATTGTAGTGGAACGGACTGACTCATGTTTAGTGTTTAGCATATGAGATAATATGTCCCTTCAGTGTTGCCATAGAGGCAAAAGGGTGGTTGAGGGCAGTTATTAATGTGTCATGAGTGCATCATTCATGTAAACAGACTATGGACCACGACGACATGAGTGTGCACTTCCTTAGCTTAGCTGTCTAAGCTAGCAGGTTGAATCTGAGGCACTTCAGAGAGTTACGCGCCGCCGGTTCAAGATGTGCTCGGGGATAAAAAGCCATTTAACAGCTCAGGACTGTTCCAGATCCATGTGGACCTGCCAGGTCCGTTTTTCTATAATAAACTCATTGCAGGATTCTCAAGTCTCACGCATTGACTGCGACACGCTCACATTTCAACCAGTTCACACGCCACACCTTGAGAAGCCAACGAAGAATGGGACCAGAGCAAAGAACTGGACGCCTCTCAAGCGTGAACCAGCATTATCATTCTCTCCAGGAAATACACAACAATTAAATTACTGCATTTATGCATTTATTCCTTTTATGGAAATCTCAGCAGATAATCCTCAGCGCTGTAGCCAGACTGACAGATTCACTGCTCTGTTGAGCCGTATATTCCTTTAAACCTCAGTAGTAATAACTTCATGAACTTCTTCAATGAGAAGATTAGAGAGAAAACGAATAATCTCCTGCCCTTTGCCAATACAGATCTATGCCAAAACCCGGTAACCTTAGAACCAGCTATAAACCCTGAAATATATTTAGAAAAAATGTATATTATAACAGTAATGTGACAAATAATTACATCACATCACATGTCGTTTAGCTGACGCTTTTATCCAAAGAACAAGTAACAGGAAAGTGCAATTTCATTAAATTAGCCGATTTACAACTTGCTGTAGAGAAGAGCCATTATAAGTACAATTTGTTAATGTCAAGCAGGTGCAGGTAACAGGTAGAACCACCATTCACGGAACAACCTTTTGACCTCTTCAGACATTGAATTGAATTCATTTTATTTTGTATAGCCAAACATGGCCTCAGGGGGCTTTACAGTCTGTACACATGCGACATCCTTCGTCCCAAAACCCACCATCGGCGCAGGAAAAACTCCACAAAAAATGGGGGAAAAAGGGAAGAAACATCAGAGTAGAGATCCCTCTCCTGATGGACAGACTACAAAGGATGTCATGTGTACAGAATGAGCAATGTAAAAGTTGTACAATACATTCAGCTCCTATAACAGAAATGATTCAAGTAATTGTGAGTAGAAATCCAGGTGCACGTCAGGACCACTGCAGGGACAACCACCATCAGATAGAACCACAATCCAGAGAAGCCTGTGGGGAGGGAGAGCACAGAGACTTTAGGAGTGGGTAATGTTGCTATTTAATGTTGTGTTGTTATGATGACAGTAATAGTAATATGATTAATATTTAAAATAATAATGATGATAGCAGCAGGTGTCAGCAGGGCCACGGTAGGAGGCAGGAACAGGGTTCAGATAGAACCATGATCCATGGGAACCTGTGTGGCG